GTTTATTCTGACTCTTGTTTATCTAGCATAGGGTCCAGCAACAAAATGGATCCACAGCACAGGTTCATGGAGCACAGGAAAGGCAACCAAGTATTTGGAGCAAAGATTGTTTTCATATTCGTGTTTAGCTTGAAAGGTAGCTTTCAATACTTGTAATGCAACAATGGACCCAGCATTTCAAATCACATTTAGAAAGAACAGGTTAATAAAATTACCCCAAACATGGGCTATTCCACTCCCTGTCCCAACACAGAGCCAGAGGGCAGCGGTCTTGCAAGGGGCAGAAATCTCAGCAGGGGAGATACTTTGGTTCAGAGATGCCGCTTAGAAGCATACAGAGCATGCGCTCACGCCCAACCTGAGCAATCCCCAAGCGCAGCACATTCTCAAAGACAGAAATGCTTTTCCTGACTGAAAACAGCTTTCCTTGGCAAGCAGCAGTGACAGGAACATCCACTTGCATTAGCGCTAGGCAGTCCTCCCAGAAAGCAAGGCTGCTGCAGAACAAAGAGCTGCGTGCGAGTCGCTGTGCTCGCACTAACTGCATTGCTCTCCATTGCTCGCCTCCTGTCAAACACAGTAATGCAGGAGGTATGCAGAATTAAAGGCACCGAGGGCCAGTGTTTCGTTTACTAGGTAATTTCATTGTGAAGAAGAGTTCAAAATAGAATTAGACTCCTGTTTATGGCCAAGACAGACTGACAGGAACCAGATTTCCTTCTGGCCTGGATGAACACGGAACAGAGAAAACAGCCAAAATATTTGAATCCACTGTTTCAAGAAATGTACATCAGCAGACAAGGCAATATCTCAGAAAGGAAAACAAACGAGACGCGGCAAAGTTTGTCCAGACTGTGCCTTGTGAATGCTCCCATCATGGTGGGGGGCTGGGTTCCAGGGGGAATCCAGGGGACTTCTTGAAGTGAGTCCACACAGGACAGGGGTCAACAGCTGGAGCACTGGAGAGAAGGCTGCCCAGAAGAACCCTGTGCTCTGGCAAGGCACGTGCTCCAAGTCCTCACAGAGCATCAGTCAGGGCTCAGAAGAAGTGAGAAGGAGGCCGGGCAGTGGTGGCACATGCCTTTAATCTCAGCACTTGGGAGGCAGAGGCAGGCAGATCTCTGTAAATTCAAGGGCAGTCTGGCCTACAGAGCAAGTTCCAGGAAAGGTTCCAAAGCTACACAGAGAAACCCTGTCTCAAAAAAAACAAAAAAGAAGTGAGAAAGAGACGCAGAACTGAGTCACTGCAAAGGGTGGAAGGAAGCATGTTCTCACCTCAACCTCAGTACGACACTGTCCCCATTCCGAGGCAGATCACCTGGGTACTCCTGGCACACCATGCAGAGTAGCCAGAGTGGTGTAGGCTTAGTAGTGTAGTAAATTACCTCTAGACCGGAGGCAAACATGTTCTGTAGGGGGCCACATAGGAAGCATTTGGGGCTTTGTGGTTCATATGGTCCCTAAAGCAGTTATTCAATTCTGCTATTGCCAAGTGAGAAAGTATCTATGGATATTGTGTAAGTGAGTGAGCATGGCTGTGTTCCCATAAAATTGAATTTATGAGCCCTGAGCTTTTAATCAATTTTACAAGTCACAAAATATTCTTTTGATTATTTTTTACCATTTAAAAACTTTAAAGCTGTTTTTGACTTACATGTCATACAAAAATAAGATCTGGCTCATAGGCCAGGGTTTGCTGATACATGCTCTATAATATTTTAAACAACTCTTTCATCTGTCTTTAAAAGCAAAACCCAGGGCCAGCGAGATGGCTCACTTAGAAAAACCACTTGCTTCATGGGTCTGATGATCTGAGTTCGACTCCAGAGCCCACATAAAGCTGCAAGTGCTGTGGGACAGTGGTCTTTTGTCCTGTTACTTGTATTATTTTTAATAAAATGCTGATTGGCCAGTGACCAGGCAGGAAGTAGAGGTGGGGCAATGAGAATTCTGGGAAGAGGGAAGTTTATAATTCTACATTCGTGACCCAGATGCAGAGGAAGCAAGATGTGACTGCCTCACTGAATAAGGTACCGAACCACGTGGCTAACATAGACAAGAATTATGGGATAATACAAGTTATAAGAGTTAATAAGAAGAGCCTGAGATACTGGGCCAATCAGTTTATAATTGATGAAGAACTCTGTGTGATTCTTTGGGACTTAACAACTGCAGGAACTAGGCAGGACAGAAAACTTGGTCAACAAAATGGTGCCCAATGTGTAGATAACTGCATCCACAGAAAACCGGAGAGAGCTTGGGAAGAGATTCTAGACACAAAAAGAACAGATTTAAACATGGCTTCTTGGTAGCACTTTCTTAGGTGGGCTCTGCTTGCTAGAAGCAAGTGCTCCCATTTAAGAGAGGCTTCCTGACTCAGCTTTAGTTGTAAAGTCTTGCAGCTCTTTTAAGAGGTTCCGCCACAAAACACTTAAATGGTATTGATGAAAAGCTGACTGCATGCTTTTTAGTGGTGGCAGGGCCCTTGAAACGCCATAGAGGTGTGGCAATAAACATGGCTCCGGCCGGTACCTCCACCATGAAGCTGGAATCTCAAAAAGCAAAGAAATGGGCTGGATCCAGCTGTCAAAACCACGGCTTTAATTCTAGCCATATGACTTGGCAAACTAAAGACTTGTGGTCAGAAAAAGAGATATACAGTAAAGATAGATTCAAAGACACACACACAAAAAAACCTCTAAACGGTTTACAGTGTGTTTAGAAATACACGTAGGCTTGGGAGAAAAAAGGATAAAATCCTTGGTTGGTGGTGGCTTGGTTTAGTGGTAGAAAGGGACAACTCACACACTCTACCAGAGAAGAGCAGCGCCTAGAAGCAGGCTGTACACTTATGCGCCGCTTGACTATTTTTGACAAAGGTGAGAAATTCAGTAGCGAAACAGTCTTTTATTTTTTTAATGTCTTTAAGCCAAATAGATATCCAAATGCAAATAGAGCCCGTGCCTATATACCAGTTGAGAAAGATCACAGGCCTAATGTAAAAACCTAACATTATAAAATTACTAAAAGAAAAAGGCAGTAAATCTTGTGGCTTTAGCCTACTGGACATTTTCTTAGGTATAATCAAAACAGAAATTGTACTGAAGGAAACTGATGAACTGGACTTAAGAACTTGCACAGTGTGAGAGGCACCACTGGGAGAGAAAAGGGAAGCAAGGACACAAGGAAATAGCCAGAAATCTCACGTGTGTCTATGGTCGTGAGCTTGCTACCGCCCAGCCAGCATCCTAACTAAACCTGCTCTCTTTCTAAAAACAAAACCCAAAGGTGTCTGACAAAAGAACTGAAAGGACAGAAGAAAATATCTTACAAGTTACTAAAGGAGCAAACTATTTCAAAAGACATCTTGGGTGGGGGGAATCATGTAAAGATTCACGTGACAATCCAGATGCATTTAAAAATTATCCATAGAGAAAGAAGCCAGACCCGCTTCCCAAGAGAGTAAATACCGTATGAGTCTACTCACATGAAACTGTGGAAAACAGAAACCAATTAGTACTGACAGAAAGCAGATCAGCTGTTGTCTAGGAATGGGGAGAGACAACAGGAAGACTCTCCAAGAGACACGAAGGAACCCTGAGAACTGGTTTCACTATCTTGACTGCAGTGATGGCTTCAATGTCTGTGTGCTGAAGTTCAAACAATCATACATAGAAAATATGTGCTGCTTAGGATAATGCCAATTATACTTCAATAAAGCTGTCTTTACAAAGAACAGCATACTGATATGGAAAAATATATTAAGTCAAAAACTAGGAAGTGGTTCATATAGTGAGATAGCTATGTACCTCATGGTCCTGTTAACATAAAATATATGCATTTATACTAAATATATTCATGTATGTATACAGAAACAAGACTGAAGACACATATACTAATCCACTTCTAGTCTGCAGACTGGAGAAGCAGACAGAACACTTTCCATCTTGTCTTGTCCCTAATCTTGCTTGAACCCATAGCAATAGTACATTACTTCTGATTAAAAAAAAAAAAGAGAGAGAGAGAGAAAACTTCAAAAACACTAATGACAACGTATGCTGGAGAGGTTGTGGGGTAAAGGGAACACTTCTGCGTTGCTGGTAGGAGTGCAAGCTGGTACAGCTCCTTTGGATATCAGTATGGCGATTTCTCAGAAAATTAGGAAACAACCTTCCTCAAAACCCAGCAATACCACTTTTGGGTATATATCCAAAGGATGCTCAATCGTGCCACAAGGACTATGCTCAACTATGTTCATAGCAGCATTGTCTGTCATAGCCAGAACCTGTAAATAACCTAAATGCCCTTTGACCAACCAAAGAATGGATAAGGAAATTGTGGTACATTTACACAAAGGAGTACTACACAGCAGGAAAAAATAATGACATCTTGAAATTTGCAGGCAAATGGATGGAACTAGAAAACATCATATTGAGTGAGGTAACCCAGACACAGAAGGACAATTATCACATGTACTCACTCATAGGTAGTTTTTCAACATAAAACAAAGAAAGCCAGCCCACAAATCACAATCCCAGAGAACCTAGACAACAAAGACATACATGGATCTAATCTACACGGGAAGAAGAAAAAAGACAAGACCTCCTGAGTAAATTGGGAGCATGGGGACCATGGGAGAGGGTGGAAGGGGAGGGGATAGAGAAAAATGTAGAGCTCAATAAAATCAATTTTTAAAAAAGCTGTTAAAAATGAGAAACTTAAAAAATAGCACATTAAGCAAATGTGGTGTAACCTACAAATAAAAAGGAAAAAATTCTGATGGTCCAGACAAACTTGAGGGTAAAGGGCAAACTGATGACAACCAAGTCCGCAGTATCAGTGAAGTCTTTTCCTCAAGCATCTTGGGGCCATAACAGAGAAAAAGAATCAAGAGCTTTACAGCAACAGTCATGTGACTCTAGTCTTCAATGGTGACAAGGAAAACAGTTAAGGCTAGGACCGAGGCGACAGGTCTGTAACCCACAGTCCTAGGACAGTACCTTGGATAATTTTCTGCTGCTGTTGCCGGATCTCATCAAAACCCAGACCTCTGGTCTCCTCTGGCTCCTCACAGAGCCATGGGTTGGGAGTTCCTCGCTTTGTTTCTTCACTCATCAGGCTGGACCTGAGAACACGAGTAAACACATTACGTATCTCACAAAACACAACTCGGCTAAAAAGCACTCCCACCGGCACGGAGCCGACCAGCCTGGCACACTTCAAAAAGTCATCTCCACAATTAACTGCACTCTTAGTTTATTCTAGGAACTGGGTCCATGGCTGAGACACAACATGGTCCCTAGACAATTACATGATACGATGACGAGATGGCAGAGTAACCAGCACTCCACTAATCGTCCACAATGCCCTGGACTAAAAAACCAGCAAAGTTGGTTCTTAAGTCTTAAAACCACAAGGCCAATTAGAAGCTGCCTATTTATGGCAACCCAAGTTTGTTTCACAGACTTTGTGACATAAAGGGAACCAATATTATTTTTCATACAAATATAATACTGTGCTTACAGACTGTAGCATAGGAGATAATAAAATTTCTCACTAAAGGGTGCTAGGTTGCTGACAGAGACACATGCAGAGTTTCAAGTCCAGTTTTATGAATGCAATCATAACCTCTGACTCTCAATGGTGACCAGTTGACAGTCACAGTCAGCTGTGACCAGCCCCCCTGGAAGTAACCCACACTGGCTCTTGCACAACACATACTGGTCCCCTGTCTGAAAACAAAGAACACAGTCCCTGCCTCTGCCTCCTTGTCCACAGGATGCGAGAACCACGTTTCCCAGGAAACCACCTCTATGACTCCAACACAGAGGTGATCCATTCACGTTGCTGCTCTGGTGGAATCTGGGAGGGGCTGATGGAGGCGCGGGAGGAGCACCACAGCAGTGGCAGCTGCTATGTGCGGGCACTCTCTGGCTGACTCTGTGTGCACTCATTCATTTCTTCTTATATTGCCTAAAAGCAACTGCTGCCCTCCTGTCTGGCCTTGCATATAGGTAAGCCTTCTGACCACTAGGTAGGAAGGGAGACATGACAACTTCCTCCCGTGTTGCACCCTGCTCCCCAGTGCAGAGTGAACAGCCAGCAGCATGTCACTTACTGGCAATGTATGGACAGTAACATCTACCTTTAGATGTTTTAGCAAGGATTAAACAGAGTAATCTATGAATTCAAAAACTATTTCCTCAGTACTTTGGTAGAAACCATTCTAATCAATAGAGGAAAAAAAAAACCCTACACAATCTGACTGAAATCTTTGACCTGACAACACACAGCTTCTCCGTGTAGGTGCTGTCCTCACGCACTTGTGTGTGTGTGCGTGCTGAAGGGGTGGCAATAGCGTGTTCAAAGGCTGAATACAATGCTTGGGAAATAAGACCTTTTTCAATAAATTACCCATTTTCATTATATCAATTACTACATTGTGAGGCAGCATTATTTTTATAAGTATATATTTAGTATGTATTAATTTCACATTTTGTCACTTTAAAACTAAAAAAGGAATATATCTTTCAAGAAAACCCAGGTCAAATGCAAAGACTGGTTTTTGATTCTTTGGATTAAGATTTTATGCACAGGTCTGGTCTCTTATTCAAATGCAGCAATTAACATGCCAAACACCAGTATGACTTTCTTCCAGTCTATCAAAAAGACAGACATGTTCTTGAAGGCCTTACTTTACATGATTGGCCCCAAGAACCCGAGATGTCGAGGTTTCACACTTATCCACATGATAATCACTTAGCTTTACCTAGCTTTGAGGACAAGGAAGAAAGCAATGAAAAAGGAAGCGAGGCAGGCAATTTGCAACCCAAGCATACCCGCTAACTCCCAAGGCATCTTGCAAGTACCAGCATGAATCTCATGTAGTTGTATGTGGCTCACAGCAAAATCCTGGGTCAGAGACTGGCCAGAAAATCGCCTGAGACTCACAAGTGCATCAGGGACCAGCTTCAGTCATTCCAAGGAGTGTATTGCAACTGACAGGGCTCCAAGATTAGTGTTAAAATGCCTTGCTTTGAGCCCTTCTCTTTCTCTCTCTGTCTGTCTCTCTCTGTCTGTCTCTCTGTCTCTCTCTGTCTCTCTCTGTCTCTCTGTCTCTGTCTGTCTGTCTGTCTCTCTCTCTCTCTCTCTCTCTCTCTCTCCCACACACACACACCATATTAAGGTATTAGTATTAAGGGACAAAACCCAACAAGTGTGAGGTGCTTTTAAACCATCTCAATAAATGGCAAATGAGGACTACAGCTATGTTTATGTGTGCAGTTTGTGTGTACTTGTGCATGTAGTATCTGTGTAGTCTAAGTACCTATTGGGAATAAAAGCAAAAATGTGGACAGCAGCTCATATCAGTGGTAAACAGAATACAGAGGAAAGGCTTCCCAGTACGACCTAATTCCTAGAGTTAGGCTACAGCCTCTCCCTGCTCATCTCTGAGCTGGTGTTCTTATTTCACTGGTGTCCCAGGTCCACCAAGAAGGCACCGTTAGTGCTCTCTACGCCTATGTGTATCCGTGCCACTTTTTCATCAGCTTTTATGCCCTGCTTCACATTTGGGCGATATGCATTACTAGGCCGTACTGTTCAATGGACAGCAGGCCTTAGGAGAATCAAGATCAGACTCTAGAAGTCAGGGTGAAGAGCAGCATATGACTAGGCAAAAAGAAGCCGAGTGGTCAGCCCTGAAATTATATACATACAGGTATGATAATATGGCCTGAGCAGGTGTATTTACATACTTAGGAACATATATGATACGTGATATATGTATCAATTTACACACATATATGTAAAACAACAATTGAAGAAAAAGAGGTGAAAAATCTGGGAAAGATACATGGGAGAGGCCTAAGGGAAGATTATTTGAATTTCAAAAATATTGTGAAATAAATACGTTAAAAAGGAAGCCCTTCAAAAAATTAAAAACTAAAAAAAAAAAAATTTTCAAATTTAAAAAAAAAAATGGCACATTCTCCCTCCCTCTATTCTGCAGGAAAGTCCCCAAGTCAAGACTTCCCAATGTATGACTGTGGCATTTCCCCACAGGGGCTCCGCAGGTCTCATCCCAGAATCCTCAAACAGTGAGTGTATGCAAAGTCAAACCCACTCCTTTGTCCCACAAGCTCGTCCTCCCCCCACTTCTTGATTCTGTTTAGCGAGCCCAGCCGTCCAGAGCGCTGTGCTACTGCTGCTATTATCCCTCGGCCACATCTCAGCAAAGATCACGGTCTCCCTCAGAGACGGTTCCCAAGTTCCTGTCCTCATCTCCGTGGGCACAGCCTGTTGCCCGCCCCAGCACCCCGCTGGTACAGCCGAGGTGACTCTCCAGTCAGCCTCCTCCAGATCATATTATTTACAACTTCTGACTTCCTGGAACTAGAGGCTAAGTGTGAGCGTTAGAAGATGGTCCCATGGTCTCAGCTCCCAACATCCGCCTTCCACAGCCTTGCTTGAGCCCATACTGCTCACTACCACACAGACAAAGGCACAAACTTTCACACTCTCATGTTTTTGCATGAGTCTGCGGTGTCCCCACCCCCACCCCTTTGTCCATCTGGCAAAATTCTATTCATCCCTTAAGGCTCAACTCAAATGTCACTGCTGCTGCGGAGTCCTTCCTGATCCCCACTCCTTCCCCCTTCCCTCAAATCAATCACTCGCTGGCGCTCCCAGGGCGCTCTGTTCGCAGCCTCTAACGTGGCATTTATCAGGCAGGATTGTAGTTCGTTATTTACTCATCTGTCTCCCTCCCTAAATTATGAGCTCTGTGAGGAGAGAGGCCACAGGACAGTCATGTTTATGTCCCCAACACCCAAAAGATGAGGCCTCAGAATATGCTGGAGAAGAGGCGTTCAGGAAATGCTTACACAAGCAGAGCTGGCAACCCCCAAGGGTTTTAGCTGGCAGAGTCAAGATGACAATGGGGCTTAACATTCTCGTCTTGAGAAATTAAAACAAAAGTCTTAATCAACTGCTACCTGCCTTCACGACTTAGCACTGAAGACTGATGCTTCAGGCAGATGGAGAGAATTACTTTAGAAGGGAAACCTGTCAGTAAAACACCTTCCCGTTCCACCTTGTATTGGCAGTGACAAGTCAGGAGATCTCTTAAGTTACAGAAAGGGCATGCTAATTACCATGCCTCTGAGATGCAACAGATTTGATTTTCCCTTTAAATTACTGTGGAGCAGACCCAGGGCCAGGAGAGCGCTACCACAGAGCCTCTGCAACAGCATCTCCTGCTTTCTATTCTGAGCCCAGCCCAGGCCAAGCCGGTCTTGAATTCTTGGACTCAAATAACGCTTCAGTTTCCACCTCTCCAGGTGCTGGGAGTACAAGCCCACACAGTGGATGATGCCTCTGTGTGTGTGTGTGTGTGTGTGTGTGTGTGTGTATGCTTTTTAATAAATCAATAAATTCTGTACATATTCTTTGAAGGTAGACCTTATCTATAATAATAAAAACACAACATTAATAAACATGGGAGTATATTAGAGTCCTGAACATGTCTCATGATCACTTGTAAGGACATAACGGGATCGCACTTTCAGCATCCAAAGAAAATAGTGTATGTTATTAAATTATAATAACACGAGGGGAGCACACAGATAATCCATCTCCCTGCTGACAAATTCGTTTGGAACCTGTCAGAGTTCACAGGGAGGGCATTCTTATCAACTGAACAGAGAGCTGAAAAGAAGTGAATTCCAAGAAGTAGCTTTTCTTAGCATTTCAAAAAGATGTCAACTCGACTATGGAAAATGTTTGTTTTGTCTGGAAAAAAATATCAATGTTTGAGCATTCACAGACCACAGGGAGGCTTACAGCCGGCAGCAGCGAAGCTCCTTCAAGGGTGTCAGTGAACTGGGTTGTATCGACAAAGGTTTCTAACTGGCCTTACCCACAGATGTGAAAACGCCCCTATGGTATGAAAGGCTAATTCCTTTTCTCAAAAGGTTCTGTGTAGTCTTGCTCTTGTGGATATAAAGATGCACAGAGGCTCAAATTTCATTCAGAAATGGACTCTCTGACATAAATTCTTTAGAGACACACTCTGGCAACAATGTGCAGACTGGATCGCATGGACAGAGGCTGCAGTAAGGAGCG